CCCCAGCTGCTCTTGGGGACGCCTGGGGCAGAGCAGCTGGAGTGCTGCCGGGTTGGTCACGCAGCCCCGAGGGGCAGTGCTAGGAGACCAACCCGGCAGCACTCCAGCTGCTCTGCTCCCGGCTTCCCCGATTCAGCTGCTGGTCAGTTTCAGCAGCAGCTGAATGGGGGAATCCTGTCCGGCTGCCCCAGCACTTCTGGGTTCCTGATGGTGCCAGACCATCAAGAGTCTCGGAGCATTGGATGCCGGACTAATGGAGTTTTACTGTATGTTGTTTATTATTGTGTATGATATTAATGTTTGAACAATTTTAAAATTGTGGCTTCCCCGATTCAGCTGCTGGTCAGTTTCAGCAGCAGCTGAATGGGGGAATCCTGTCCGGCTGCCCCAGCACTTCTGGGTTCCTGATGGTGCCAGACCATCAAGAGTCTCGGAGCATTGGATGCCGGACTAATGGAGTTTTACTGTATGTTGTTTATTATTGTGTATGATATTAATGTTTGAACAATTTTAAAATTGTATCACAATTTGGCATGGCTTTCTGTTGGCTAAATGAGGGGTATGTCTACACTTGCACCCTCTTTCGAGAGAGGGATGCAAATGCAGACATTCGAAATTGCAAATGAAGCCGGGTTTTAAATATCCCGTGCTTCATTTGCATATTTGCATTATGGCGCTATTTCGAAGCTTTCAGGTTTTTATATACATCAACAAAGGTTAAGGAAATTCAAACAGCTGATCTAAACAAATCAACACATAAAATGAGCTATAGTGCAGGAAGGTTTTGGAATTCCTTTGCAGTTGCCTTGTATGCTCCTTAATGCTACAAATACAGGATTGAACATCAAGAGTGCCACACATGTAAATATTCTTCATTGGATCACTAAGAAGGTATCCACAGATTAATGTTAGCTTTGCTTTCTAGATTGAGGAAAAGAGACTCCGGGAAGAGGCAGAGCGTGAGAAAATTAGAATAGAAGAAGAAAAAGAAGAAAAGCGACTAGTTGAACAGAGACTCAAAATTCAAAAAGAATATGAAGAAGAACAGGAAAAGAAAAAAAGGAAAGAGGAGGAGGTGAGCTATCCAATTTTAATTATTTGATTTCTTTCATTACCCCTAACTATCACACTGAAGCATTCAAATTTTTCCAGTTTATGAAGGAAGAGATCATTTTGCAAACTCTTAAGAAAGCTCATAAAATACTGTCAGATGGCTTGTAGAACCTACTGGAAAACTAGAAAGTAGATGGGGTCCACTAGTAGTGAGCAAAATCCTTCCATTTCCTTTAATCTTAAAAGAACAGCATCAATTTGAAATCTAGTCAGATTATTTAAAAAAAGATTTTTTTAGTATTATCAAGTACTAAACCTGTCTCTGAACCTAATGTCAGTTTTTGTGGTCTTATTTTAAGAAAAGATTTTTTTCTTCACCTGTTGCTGTATTAACACAGAAGAAATTGATCATATAAGAAGAATGCAGAGTACAGGCAGTCCCTGGGATACGTACAAGATAGGGACTGTAGGTTTGTTCTTAAGTTGAATCTGTATGTAAGTCGGAACTGGCATCCAGATTCAGCCGCTGCTGAAACTGACCG